CATCAGAAAGGATGAATACCCAAATTCTACATCAACATAGATGGAACTGGAGGAGATTATGCTAAGTGAAATAAGTCAGGCAGAGAAAGTCAATTATCATATGGTTTCACTTATTTGTGGAACATAAGGAATGGCACGGAGGACGTCAGGAGAAGGAAGGGAAAAATGAAGGGCAGGGGGAATTGGAGGGAGAGATGAACCATGAGAGACTATGGACTCTGAGAAACAAACAGGGTTTAGAGGGGAGGGGGAAGGGGGGATCGGTTAGCCCGGCGATGGGTATTAAGGAGGGCACGTACTGCATGGAACCCTGGGTGTTATACAAAAACAATGGATTTGGATCACCACATCAAAAACTAATGATGTATTGTATGGTGACTAACAACATAATAAAATTAAGAAAAAATAAATATGAGACATATTCTTAGTACAAATGAGTAACAGAAACTGATAATAGGGTGGCTCAGTTGGTTGAGCATCCGACTCTTGATTTTGGTTCAGGTCATGATACAGGGTCCTGGGATTGAGCCCCACGTCAGGCTCTGAGCTCAGTGTGGAGTCTGCTTATTCTTGTCCTTCTACTCTTCCCCCTGTTCCTGTGTACTCTCTCTCTCTGTATCTTAAATAAATAAATAAAACCTTTAAAAAGAAAGAAACTGATGTTAAAAACAGATAATTGGCACAGTTGAAGGAGAAGGACCCAGAGGGCTAAGATGAAATGGTAGTTAAAATACATATACAGGTGTTAGTCTTGGATTCAAGGCAGATACCTCTACTAAAGAAAGGACAGAGAATACATTTGTAAGTGGGAAATCAAGAAAATTAGAGTTTCTACCTCATAGCTCTATTTGCTCTTGCAAGGCCATGTGAGGAGAATGTGATGGAAAAAACATAACACATCTGAAGACTATAGAGTTTGGAGTAAATCCAAAAGAGAAAAGGGAATGTTAGACTTTATATGAGTATGTAAGGGTGTGTGTGTGTGTGTGCCCACACGTGCACATGCTAGCAGGCACACTCATACCTCTCTATGCACATACTCATATAGCTGAGGTTGAGAAACCCTAAACTGAGCTTTATTTGTCAGATTCTGCATCATGCCTTGTGCTCTTCCTGGAAATGTTTCTGTAACCCTACTTCCAAATTACAGCCAGCCCTTCAAAGTCATCATGAGATCTCAAATGACTCTGACACTGCCCCATGGGCAGTGAGCAGGTTCCCTGGGATCTTTCCTCATGCTCCTTCTCGGGGTTATCTTGGCAAAGAGATAGCCAAAGAGAATAGGGCTGGAGAAATATAAGACTCCTACAAACTGGTCAGGAGCTTTTCTCAGGACTCAGGTAGGTTACTACAGGAAGACTGACAAAAACTAGTGGCTTTCAGCAAGGCCCAGAAAGTCCCAGTGCAGAGAATGCCAGCCCTTTAGGTGTTAGCTAGAACTGACCCCACAGTGTCTGATCTTAGAAAATGTCAGGTTATAAAATTGACTTTGTCCAAGGCCTAGCTAGAGTACCCTCTCATCCCACTTGCCCAACTGTGTGAGGGAGTAGGCAGTCTGGCTCAGAACCCCCAACAGGAGCCAGATTTAGAATAATCTAGCTCAGCAATAGGGATGAAAAAGGTCCAATTTTCATGGGTTTGCACAACCGGGAGGAATCCTATTCTGACCCAGATCCCTCATGGTATTGAAAAAGAAGTAAAAGTCAAGCATAAGAGAAATATCTTTCCTAAAGTAAATAAATAGACCAATTTATTCCTCCCGGGTGTAGAATCTTGTGAGATGTTGATCTATGTGTACTTCTGTCCGTATGGGATCTCTCTGTCTCCTCTGTTCATGTCCCTGGTCCCTGACACTAAGGCAGGCCTTCTTTTGGCATGGAGGAGCTGTTGGGAGGGCATTCAGATGGAAAACTGGAGAGCATTCTCTCAAATGTATACAATGGCAGGAGGAAAGGAAACAGAAGGAGTCCTTCTCATCCCCTCTTACTTGACTTTCACTAAGAGTTCCAAGATATTATGGCTTTAGGGATAGCAAGACATCATTAAGTTATATTCCTTGTCTCCAAACAAGAATAACTGGCAGAGAGGACAGACTGGGAGTTCAGTCTCTTAGAAAGTTTCGGAAGCGGATTTTCCCCAACAATGCCTTTGCTATGATTGTCAGAACTAGGAATGAGAAGTTTTCTTGATCTGAAAAGGCAATGCCACTAACCATAAGTATTCCCAAAGAAGGGCAGGGCTCACCCATTTCTTTCTATCCCTTCTTTTAGTAGTCAGTTCCTTTCCATGAAAGCTCCGCAGAACAGTTTCTTCAGAAATTTGTCTTCAACCACCAAAAAGCCTTTTTATTTTTATTTTTTTATTATTATGTTAATCACCATACATTACATCATTAGTTTTTGATGTAGTGTTCCATGATTCATTGTTTGCGTATAACACCCAGTGCTCCATGCAGACCAAAAAGCCTTTTTAAATAAGTTCATGTCAACCACATGAGACAGATGTAATTGTTCCATTTTATTTTATTTTATTTTATTTTATTTTATTTTATTTTATTTTTGTTGTTCTTGTCAAAAATTTATTTATTTTAGAAAGATAGTGAGTGAGCAAGTGGGGGGAGGGGCAGAGGGAGTCTGATGCAGGGCTTGATCCCCATCCCACCAGTCATGAGATCATGACCTGATCTAAAACCAAGAGTCCGGTGCTCAACCGACTGAGCCATCCAGGCACCTCAGCATTGTTGTAACTTATTAAAGACAACTTGAAAAAGTAAAATTAGAGTTATTACATTTCACTTCTCTATCTCAGGCTTTTAATTATTAATTCCAAAAGAGGTATTTGAAAGATTAGGAGAAACATTGAGATAAAACATATACTTGATTTTCATACTCCTGAACAAATAATTCAGTTAAATTTGGTTCCTGAAATACAAATGGAATATTGTGGCATTGTTCTCCAAATACACTGAAGAATGGTCATAAGACTTTAATTTTACCATAAGTTTTGATGAATTTTAAAGAATTTTCTTGTTATATAGAATGCATTTGTATTATTACTATTCACAATAACTTGTTTGTGTAAATTAGGATTTTCAACCACAACTTCGTTAAAAACAACAAAAAATAGACTCAGTACTGAATCAGATTAGCATGTATCCGGTCTATATATGTTCCACCTTTGAACTAAAAAACAGGAAAGCATAGCCACAATATTCAGTAAAATAATTCCGAATGTTTTTATACTGGAAATTATTTGCTGTGTTGTGTTTAAATATTAAGGTAATTATATTAGGTGTTAACTTTGTTATATTTTTACTTTATCACATATAGTTGGGTATGTGGGGTTTTTTTTGGTGAGCTTTTATTTAATATGTTTGTGTGTATGTGGGTATCCATGTATATGTCTTTAAAAGCAAATTGTTTCTTTTTTTCTTTTTATTATGTTAATCACCATACATTACATCATTAGTTTTTGATGTAGTGTTCCATGATTCATTGTTTGAGTATAACACCCAGTGCTCCATTCAGTATGTGCCCTCTTTAATACCCATCACCAGGATAACCCATCCCCCCACCCCCTCCCCTCTAGAAAATTTAAAGATGAGAAAAATTGTCCTTCAGAAGGGTTAAGTGACTCGTTCAAGTTCATATAGCTCTCAGGTCCAGCTTTTTAATTTTAAGCACAGTGCTATATTTAAGACACAACCATATAGTCCTCTAAGCATACTTTGAACGACAAAAAAATACATCATCCCTCTGCTGGCTGTGTTGTGGTGGCAAGAGCATAGGACTGACAGCAGAGTGTTCTGTTTCATTCTTGGCTGTTCTGCTGATAAACTGTGATGCAGAACAAGTCACCTCGTGTCTGTGGGCCTTCATCTCCCCACTCTGAGATGCTGTGAAAACCTGACCTCCTGGGCTTGAGGACAGAGCAAGCTTTCCTGAGGCATATCCACCCATTCCCACAAACATTTCTCCAGCTTTGCCAGTATGGGCTTGGAGAGACAGGGTACCCTTGAAGGATCTTGAAATGTTTGGAAAGCCCCATACATCCCCTAGTAGCATTTTCCAAGTCCCTTTTCCACATCTTTATCTAAAACTCAGACTGTCTACAATAAGATGGTGAGTTCTGTAGTTTTTGGCTTTATGATCCAAACCTAAATATAAAAAGACTTGCAACTAATGTCTGTTTTCTGGAACAGTTTCATTTGAAGGATCCTGTTTATTTGTTTTCATAAGTATACTTGTAAGTGTCAAAGGATGTAATTTGATTTAGGTTCCAAAGATGTTTGCTATATTCACTGACAGAATTAATGAGATCAGTTGGGAAGGACCAAGGGGCAGAAACCTTGAAAGTTACTGTTACTTGTTGCCTAGGGCTGATATAACAGAGTACCAAACACTGGCTTAAAACAATAGAAATTTATTGTCTCAGTTCTAGAGACTGTTAGTCTGAAACCAAGGTGTCAGTAGGGCCACTTGCTCCTGAAACTTGGAAGTTTCAAGTTTCCAAACTATGGAAGAACCTTTCCTTGCTTGTTTATGGTGGTGGCTGTCAATCATTGGCATTCCTTGGCTTGCAGCTGCATCACTCCAATCTCTGCCTGTTTTGTCACATGGCTGTCTTCCTTCTGTGTGTCTGTTTTCACATGGTACTGTCTTCTTTCTTATAGGATACCAGTCCTATTGGATTAAGAGCCCATTCCATATGAGCTAAACTTAATTTACCACATCTGCAATTATCCTAGTTCCAAGTAAGATCACATTGTGAGGTACTGGGGATTAGGACTTCCAACATATTTTTTGGAGAGGAAGGGATACAGTTCAACCCATAGCAGTCACAACTGAAAATACTCAACTTGTTTACTTTTCTATTTTTAAGCTGAAAGGAGTATTTCCTGAAAAGTTTTAGGGTGTGGGAATGATATTCTGATTACTAGAAACTACTCAGATTCTGTAATACAGTTGATTTCTTTCTAGGGATGGAATTTATAAACAACCATGAACAACTTCACTTTCTTCACTGAGTTCATCCTCCTTGGGCTGTCTGCTGACTGCCACATCCAGACTCTGCTCTTTGTGCTGTTCCTGGGAATTTACCTCCTGACCCTGATGGGGAATCTGGTAATGATCCTGGTGATCATAGGGGATTCTCACCTCCACATCCCCATGTATTTTTTCCTTGGACATCTGTCCTTCCTAGATATCTGCTTCTCTTCAGTTACTATGCCCCAAATGCTACAGAACTTCTTATCTCAGAAGAAAAGCATCTCAGTGTGGGGCTGCATCACCCAGAGTTTCTTTTTTCTTCTCTCTGGGTGTGCTGAAGCCAGTCTTCTCTCTGCCATGGCCTATGACCGCTATGCTGCTGTCTGCCACCCCCTGCTCTACACCATGGTCATGAACAGGCCTCTCTGCATGGTAATGGTTAGTGCAGCATGGGTGATGGGGTTTCTCTACTCACTAGTAAATAATCTTTTCATCCACAAGTTACATTTCTGTGGGTCCAACATTATCTCCCACTTCTGCTGTGAGCTTCCCTCACTCTTCCCTCTGTCATGTACTGATCCCACTGCCAACAAATTCCTTCTGTCAGGGTCCAGTGGATTTCTGGGACTGCTGACACTTCCCCTGATCCTCTTCTCTTACTCCAGAATCATTTCTGCCATTCTGAACATCCGCTCCTCTGAGGGCCAAGCCAAAGCCTTCTCTACCTGCTCCTCCCACCTCACCGTGGTGCTCTTGTTCTATGGGACAGCTCTATTCAGGTACATCAGCCCTGCCTCAGGCTCAGTGTTGGAGCGAGTGATCTCCATTCAGTACAGTGTGATTACATCCTTGCTGAACCCCCTCATCTACAGCCTCAAGAACCAGGAGGTGAAGGCGGCTCTGCAAAGGATGCTGAGGTAGTAAATGTGCTCCTCAGATGAGGGATTCTCTGTGTGGTGTTCAGTCAGAGAATGGGAGGGGAGATCTTCAGAAGTACCTTGAGAGGATAAGACATTTGAGGTCAGTGGTTCTCAAACTGTCATCCACAAACCAGCAGAATCAGCATTATTTGTGAGCTTACAAGAAAGGCAGATTCTCAGGCCCAACCATTAATCTACTGAATCAACATTAGAGCTCAACAATCTATGTTTTAATTAGTTAGCCATGTGAGTGTGAGAAGTATGAGAAAAAAATGTTCTAGGACAACTAATGTTTGAGAAAACAGCCTTTGGTGAAAGATACAATACTGACATCTAAAATTGAAGAATCTCTTATTAAATGAGAGAGTTGGTCTGTCCAGTAGTCAAGATGAGAACATTTGATTGTGTGATCTTATGATCACACCCTCTGCAAGACTATAAAAGAGAAAAATAAAAACCTGCATTATTTTAAGATATTGGAAAGAGGGAAAATGCTGGACTGTCTACTGAAGGCAGACCAGCCCATTCCTTCCACCACCATTTGGGAGCTAAAAGATTCTCCAGAAGCTAGCACAGCATAAAGCCAAGAACAGATGTTCCAAAACAGTGACTCACAAGCTTCCTTCACCTCACCTGAGAGCATTTGAGGCCATCAAATAGCCAGTGTGCCTGGGTAGTGGTCACTTGTTTGTCCTCAAAAGTAAAGACAACCTGAGGCTATGGCAGAAGGAACAGACCAGATGAGATAGCACTTTCTGTGCAAGCGCTTTCACTGGGAACCTCTGCTTCCTGACGTGGTTGCCTGGGCCATGCTGTCAGGAGCTCTGAAGGCTGAGTTCTTGCTTCTATATATTTTGTCACAAGACTACCTTTATTTTTATCTTTCACTTAAGAAATAGAGCATTCCCAGAGCCTTAGAAGCTCCATGCGTAGCCCCATCACCTCTTTTTCTCTCCCCAGAGGTAACCACCGTCCTGAATTGCACCATACTCATTCGTTTGTTTTATTTAAAGTTTACCTCTTATTTGTGATCCCTAAATAAGATTGTTGAGTTTTGCCTGTTCTTGAAATTTGTATGAGTAGAATCATACTGTAAATTTTTTTCTACGACTTGCTTTTTTCACTTAACATTATTTATTCTTGTGTTTTTATGTACGTCTTTGTAAGCAGTTCCTGGCTGCATTTTGATTATTTATTCCATTCTGAAAATTATTTTAAGAGAAGAGTTTAATCAACAATTATTACAGTAATTACTGGTGTGTTCAGATCCGTTTCTATGTTTCCCACTTCTTCTGTAACTTCCTTTTATTTCTCACTCCTTTTTCCTCTGCTTGTCTATTTTTTTTAAAGATTTTATTTTTATCTATCTATCTATCTATTTATTTATTTATTTATCCGAGAGAGAGAGAGAGAGCATAAGCAGGGGAAGTGGCAGGCAGAGGGAGAGGGAGAAGCAGGTTCCCTGCTGAGCAAGGAGCCCAATGCAGGACTCTATCCCAGGACTCTGGGATCATGACCTGAGCTGAAGGCAGATGCTTAACGACTGAGCCACCCAGGCATCCCTTCTTGTCTATTTTTTGATGGCGATCTTAAAGTTAGTACCTATCTAACTAAAGTATTTATCTAATTACCTATCTATCTAAAGTTAGCATCTTTATCCTCTTCCAAAACAATATAAAGATCATAAAATACTTTAAGCAACAACATCCCAAATTTATATGCCATTTAAATCCAGTATTTTAGTTCTTCCCTTTACCCCACAAATTAGACATTATCACTAGACAATATTACTATATTATTTAATCAATCAGTTTTTATTTAGATTTACCCATATATTTATCATATCTTGGCTCACCATATCTTTTTTAAAAATAATATGGTTGTTATTTATATAGTATTTACAGTATGCTGAAGAACTTTATTTATGGAAAGTATATTTATGAAGGTACAATTATAGACAAAACAGAAGATTATATATAACATCATAATGATATTTCATAACTTGTAAGACAAATACAGAAGATTTTAAATGTTTCATATTTTCCCTATATATTCTATAGATCACTATACCTTACTAAATTAAAAAAAATCCTTTGTATTACAGTATAAAATTAGAGGTTATTTTTTATCAATATTGCCTCTGCATGCCAACAAAACATTTTATAATAGAATTACCAATTACAAATATTGACTTTTCTGATGAAATTTATCATTACTTTTGAGATTGTCTTATTAAACCATAACACTTGAGATCTTTTATTAAACCATAATACTTGGAATCTGTATGTATCTTTTTTTTTTAAAGATTTATTTATTTGACAGAGAGAGACACAGCGAGAGAGGGAACACAAGCAGGGGGAGTGGGAGAGGGAGAAGCAGGCTTCCCGCTGAGCAAGTAGCCTGTTGCGGGGCTCGATCCCAGGACCCTGGGACCACGACCTGAGCTGAAGGCAGACGCTTAATGCCTGAGCCACCCAGGCCCCCCTTATTTATCTTTTATAGAAGGGACTGAAAACATTTTATAAATATTGAATATAATTTTGGGAATCAGTGACAAATGACACATTAATAATTAATTCCTATGGCAGTAGCCACAAGCCCACTTGCTCTTGAAACCTTAATGAAATGTAGACAAGCTTGCCATGTCTTTCTGCATCTCAGATCTTCTGTTAGTGACCATTTTCTCATGTCCATAGCTGATCCTTAAAAATTCTCTGTGTCAGGGGCGTCTGGGTGGCTCAGTCGGTTAAGCGGCTGCCTTCGGCTCAGGTCATGGTCCCAGGGTCTTGGGATCGAGCCCCACGTCCTGCTTTCTGCTCAGCGGAGAGCCTGCTTCTCCCTCTCCCTATGCCTGCCACTCTGTCTACTTGTGCTCTCTCTCTCTGTCAAATAAATAAATAAAATCTTTAAAAAAAATTCTCTGTGTCAGTATGTAAGTGATGAATTGTTTTTGTTTGCCTGAAAATTACTTTTTTTCTTGAAAGGTAATTTTTCTGGCCATAAAATTCTAAGTTGTAGCCTAGGTTAAGTTCTATTCTCATAGAAAGGATATATATTTCCTTCTGTCTGTTATCTTTGAGTCAGCCCCACTTTAAATGAAATTCTCTGCTTGAGGTGTTTCACACCACACACACAGACAGCATGAATTCAGACTTCACACTTGCCTGAGCACCAGCTGTAGTTATGAATTTGCAGGAAATACCCTTTCCCTCTTTACCCAACTCCAATGTCAAAAGATGCCAATGCCAATTCTCTCATGGCCCCCATCCCCATGGTAGATTATTTCTTATCTATGCTTACACTGAGATTGTAGCACCTTATTTCTAACAATTACATAATTCTTGCTATGTACCAGGCATTTTAAGAAGTTTATATATATTAACTAATTTAATGCTCTGAACAACACTAGAGAGATAGATACTATTATTTTCCTAATTTTACAAACTTAGAAAACGATGCACAGAGAGGAAAGTGACTTTCCCAAAGTCAGTGGGAGAGCTGGGATTTAAACCCAGGTAGTTTGTGTACAGAGTCCATGCTCACACTACTAGGCTATGCTGCTTCTGGGGTTTTTTCCAATGAATGTGTGTCAAATTCACTATTAAAGTTCTCTTATTGGAATTATTTCTATTAGGATTCTCCTATTAGACTCCCTAGCCTAGCTGGTCTCTAGGTTTTATCTCTTGCCCTCTGTATCAAGCTGGTTAGAGTACTTGCTTAACTCCTAGGATTTCTTCTTTCACTTCATTTGTGAGCTCTGAAGATCCAAAAATGTCATCTTGGTAAGCCATTAATTTTTTTCTAGTTCAGTATGTTAATTATTCAAGCAAAGAATACTGTGAGACAATCAGCTATACTGGTCAGAAGTAGAAGTCACCTCCTTAGTCAAGAGATCTTGATACCTTCATGCCCACCAGGCCAACACAGTTTCTGACCCAGGCCTCGCCTAACTTCCAAACTTGTCATCAACATCTTGAGTATTTTATGCTTTATTAAGATATATCAGAACCTTGTTTCAAAAAAAATTTCAATAAACTATAAAAGTCAATAACTCCATTATATTGAGTTATGATGCTCCTACTAATTGTTTCAAAAATATAAATATATCCTTTGGAGTAAGCTCCTGGTTTATTTTGGAAGTAACAAACTGTCTGATTCCTTCAGAGAAAAAGGATCTTGGTAAAGAGCATAACCAGCCACATGTCTCATTTAGAATAACTTATTTCCCTGGAACTTCATCTTTAAGAAGGTAACACCTGAGATATATTTAGAAAGTAGAACTAAGAAACTCGGTGACCTATTAAATATGATGAATGAAGGAAAAGCAAAAATCTGATTTCATTTTATTTGGGTTAATGTAAACTATTTCATAATTATGGAACAATTAGAATTTTTGTCAGGTTTTTCTATTATAAATAATATTGTAACCAATGTCTTTGTGCTTAAACACTGGTCTTCATTTTCAGGTGTTTCATTAGGAAAGATTCCCAAAAATAGATTCACCAGGTCAAATTGTATTAATGTGCCATCCTTACTGCTTCTGGCCATCCCAGGGCTTGAAAGATGGAGTCATAACCAAAAGTATCTGGGGGAAGGAGGCTCACTTTCATCAGCTACTATTGGGTGTTTGTTCCCTCCCTCATAACCTGCCTTTATTTATGGGAAACCCCAGGGGTATTTCTTGGTTCTTTAAGCATGTCTTCTCAATTTCCGTAAACTGCCAAGAGCACTTGCAGAGGAAATACTGAAATGGCCCTAAACAATACTACTTATGCCAGTAACTGGGTAGATTGGATATTTTGCAATATTCGGGATTCTGATCTAAAAAAATGAAATCTTTATTCACTGAGATTTTCTACTTGGGAAACAGGTGATTTTTCTTCATACTGATTATGTTTCTTCTTCAGAATTAGTCTGTTTATTTTTACAGATAATGTAAATGAAATCTCTTTTCCTGTTATATCTTTTAAGTGATTATTACTGGCAAAGAGAATATA